GAGAGAGGGAGAGAGAGGGAGAGAGAGGAGGTAGTAAGAAGGAAATGAAAATTTCCTAGTAAGTATTATTTAATCTATCCATTAACTTATATCTTTGTTAGACATAATTTGTCACTGTGATTAACCAAACCAACTAACCAATCATGTTATTTCAGAGTGCAATTTTCATACCCTTTTGCACACACACACACACACATATATATATATATAGAGAGAGAGAGAGAAAGAGAAGGAAGAAAGAAAGAGGGAGAAAGAAAGGAAGAGAGAAAGAGAGAAATCGATTGTAAGCAAATAAGAGGACTTTTTTTTTAGTTATCATTTGACGTCATATTTAGCGTCATTGTAAGTTGTCATCATACTCGTATTTTATCACCGGTTGTAACTTTAATTCTCTGCGACATTATCAATCAGGAACTCTTTTTCCTTTCAAATACTTCCTAATATTGGATAGAAAGTTTAGCAAAATGAAGGAAAAAATCGTCACATCTTATTGTTTCCTCTATCATCAATCTTGCTACTACTAGTATTTCTAGTATATAAGAGAGTTGGGTTCAATGAAATGTCATGTGAATTCCGGATGACAGAGGTATCACCCGCAGATCATATGATATTTACTTATTGACTGTGACACTACTATATTTGCAAGAAAAGAGATAGAAGAGTGAGAAGTGAGAGGTGTAACAAATTATTTGCTGGTTTGCTTTGTCATCATCATTAGTGGATGGATAGTTTTGGTGGATCCCATATCTGTTAAACGCGGGATAAAATAATTGTTGAAAGTTCGCTTATTGTTTAATTTTTTTTTTTTTTTGTGCTTTCAGTACAATAATCACTGGATGATAAGGAATGTTATCATGGAGCAATGGTAGCACTCATATTTCACTATCAGGCAAATTTTTCACTTTCTAAATTTCTTCTCTTGCTAATTTTTTGCATTTTTATACTTTATAGCTAATTAAACTTTTGTCTGAAAGAAAACATGTTTTGTTGAATAGAAGATATGAATGAATTTTGCATGTTTATCATCACTGTTAATTTGTAATGCCATTAGTTCTCTCATTTAAATAAATGTTTAGAAATCTAATTGTTATGAGAATATTTGTAATGTTTAAAAAATAAAACAAAACAAGAAATCAATTCGTTGACAACAATTTTTGCGGCATCTCTTTTAATCAGTTTTGTTTGTTATCTTAAGTACTTTTCTTCTCTTTTACATATACTGTTACTCCTTTACACAAATCTATTTTCTCTTTTTTTCTTTTTTACTAATTTTTTGATCATATTTTCCCACAAATTGAGTCCCGTAGGAGAGGGAGAGATAGATTAAATTAAGAAAAAAAAAAAAAAAAAAATTAAGCTAAGCAAGCATTTGTTATTCAGCAATCGATTAAATAACCAAACAAAAAAAAAAAGTGGCCAAGCATCTGTTATTTGGCTTATGATTAAATAACTGAAAGAAATAGCCAAGCATATGTTATTCAGCGTATGATTGAATAACTAAAAAAAAGGCCAAGCATCTGTTACTCCTTTGTTTTGCTTCTTTCGCTGTGAATAAACAATGCATGTAAAGGGAAACAAAAGCTTGAAAGGAATAATAAGTTTTTAAAAAATAATCGAAATTGAAATGGAATAAAGGAAAAGAAGAACAAGTACAGTTTAAGAATGCTCCTCAACAAAATATTCGACAATGCAACTTGGAGAAAGAGGGATAAGGAGAGAGAGAGAAACAGAGGGAGAGAGAGAGAGAGGGAGAGAGAGAAAAGAGAACCCTTAAAATGTTTGTGGAATGTTCAATGATTCATATGATAATAATCCTTAAATGAATCATTCATATTCCATATTTGGCTTTTTCCACATTCTTCCAGTATAGGAATTAGACAATACTTTGTATTTCTTGTAAAATTTCATTGCTTGCATTTTAATTTAGCTTGCATTTCAACTTAGCCTGCATTTTAATTTAGTTTGCTAATTTACGTAACTTGCATTTTAACTTAGATATGTTAAACGGAAGATTCAATTTTTTAGGATACAAATATTTACAGTTTGTTTTTCATCATTAGATAGCTTTTTTTTTGTTGAGTTAACATCAAAAAAAAAAAGTAATGAGAAATGTCTGGAATGATGATTTATTGTGGTATACATTTTAATGAGAGGGTATATTTAGAGTTTGAGTAGTAATTAGCAATAATTAAATTAAACACCAGAAAGATGTGTCGTCGAACCTAACAGAGGGTCAATTTTCATCGATTGAGGTCAATTTGCATTGGTTGATATAATTTAATTGTACAAATGTGCACATTAATTCTCTTATAAGAAAACCATTTCACGTGAAATATTGTTTTCCCTCAGCTTTATCATTTATTGGAATTCTTTTGATTTCTGATAAATTGCGATAGTTTTTTATATTATTTAAATATGGTAGGATTGGATTAATTCAACAGTAATTTCATATAATTTTATAGATTGATACGATTTATTACGTATTGATTGATATGATATATTTGCGTATTGATTAATATAGCAATCGATTGATGGAGGGTCAGTATATTTACGTATTGATTGATATGATATATTTGCGTATTGATTAATATAGCAATCGATTGATAGAGGGTCAGTATATTTACGTATTGATTGATATGATATATTTGCGTATTGATTAATATAGCAATCGATTGATAGAGGGTCAGTATATTTACGTATGGATTGATATGATATATTTGCGTATTGATTAATATAACAATCGATTGATGGAGGGTCA